GCATAGACATGTGAACGCTTCCCTTCGGTCTGTAGTATAGACCCCTAGAGGACAATCACAAATGTGGCGTTCCCGTGCACGGAAACCAACCGACAAGAGCGCTTGGGCCTTGCAAAGTAAGCTGCTGAAGCTGCAGATTTTTTCTCTTATCAGGCTGTTGTCTGGCGCTCTCTCGCCTCATACTCTCCTCTCCGCGCTTAGTCTCTCATTCCCTTAGCACAGCCGATTAGGAAGGTGAGTGAGCCCTTAACCTGAGCGTTTTCGACGGATTCTTTTCCTTTTTTCTTTACTGCCGGCCCACTTCGCACCAATACATTCGCATTCGTGTGCAAGAGCCACACCAATGTGATCCTGGGGCATGCCTTTAATGTCAGGTAAGTCGTGGTATGATGTAGTGTATTCGGAAACGTTTAGTGTAAAGAGCCAGATTGTGGGGTGAAAAGTAGAAAGAGCGACGCATACACTCTGTCGGTCAGGAGGTTCACCGCGTGGCGAAGGCGACGCCGCAAGTGACGTCGCGCGGTCGCCATTTGCTGCGCTAGATGGTAGCTTTGCGCCTCTGCACGTAGCACAAAAAGCTTCCTGACCGAAAACTCCCTGTTGCTGAGGGAGGGGTCGATTTGGAATCGGAAGGGCATTGTCAGCTTTCTGACTGACTGCAGGACCTCGCACATGTTCAGGGCTACCGCAGCATTCGAAGAAGCATTGGATTTTGGGACCATTGATTAACATGACTGCAATCACCAATGTAATTTGAGGTAGACATTAAACTAGTTTTCTTAACTTTGAGGGATGAAAGTAAATAATTATGCAATACGCTATGCCTGCCCCTACTTGATGATTTCCCTACTCAGAAAACGGTCAAATTTTTAAAGGAGGACTCCATGGTCTGGAGAGACAGGCGCTCTGAGGGTGGGACCGACACGCTATTCTCCAGAAAGGACATGCTCCGACGACCTAGCATGGCTTGTCCCGCGGCGCTATCGGCGCGGCACGCCCACCGACTGGCTAACCACTCGCCACAGATCTCCAGCCTTTGAGCAGAGAGAGAGAAGGAGGGAGAGTGAGCGTTAGCGTTCAAGTGCGCAGCACCGATGAGTTGCGTCAATGCGGAAGTAAACGGGCAGGAAGGGGTCCCATTTTTCGAGTTCTTCGCCGTTTGTTATGATTTTCCGTTGTCCCGGCACCACTTACCACTTCTGCCACGGGCGACTTTTCAATCGTGATTCCTGCCTTCAATTAATTCTTAGAAAATTACTCTGCCTTTAGAAACACGGTGGAGCGAATGGGGTCAATGGGCCGATTGCTTTTGCGAGAGGCAAGTTCGAACACGACGATGCATATACTCGGGAGTGTTAAGTCAAGGATGTCAAGGTATTGTTTTCAGATCAAGCCGTCCCAATAGGTAGCTCCTCCACCTGTAGATTACAGTCATATATGAGCTTTTCGAAAGTGAATGATTCAGGCGATTCCTACGAGTCGCGAGACTGCGTCGGAGGTTATTGTCCAGTACCAACTGAACGACAAACCGTACCTCCGAGGACGACGGTGAGAGGAGCATGTTATTTTTTCAGATATTGTTGAAGCTTTCACTCTGAAATGACAGACATACAGGAGCGGTCAAGTGTTTGCCGGAACGGCTTTACTTGTCTTAATTTTTCTTCTTGAATTTAACCTGGAGATTCTGGGTGCATTCTAGCATAAAGACCAAAGACAGAATTAGGGTGAGCGGGGGGATTTTTGAACGCTACTGTATGATAGCTATGAAAAACGTGAAATTTTCAAGTGTGGGGCGTGAATGTAGGAGATCCTGGTTCTGTAATTGGGGCAGGAAATTATAGGAGTGAATAGGAGTGAATACCTCCTGGGAAGGATATCATTCCTATCTGGTTGCGAAAAGGGAAATTGGTCTGGTGTGTTATTTTGTTCGAAAATCAGACAAGAAGTGAAGTGAGGAACATTAATGGGGAGAAAAAGCAGAAAGTTTCGTAGAAAATACTCGAAACAGCATTTTTGCTTACCAAGCAAGTGCGCTACCAGTTACGCTACCGGGGCACCATTTCATTCCTACTCGGCTGAGTAAGCAAGGTTCGAATCCCATCTGGGGCGAAAGTTTTGTTCACAACCCAGCATTCTTGTGAAACATTCGCAAGGCGAACTGCGGCCAAAAACAGCAGTTAACAACAAAAACAGTAATTACCATTTGACTTGTTTTTATTGGATAACTGCTGTTTTACGCCGCAGTTCGCGTTGCGAAAGTTATCACAAGAATGCTGAGTTGTGGGCAAAACTTTCGCCCCAGCCGGGATTCGTACCCGGATCTCTTGCTTTCCGGGCAATTGTGCTACCAGTTACACCACCTGGGCAGGTTCGTCATACGTGTGCTAATAGCTATGGTAAATTTACCATCGAAGCTGAGTTGGGGTGAAATGGTGCCAGCGTCGGACAGCGTACAAGACAAGACTTTGGCACCCCTGCTGCACACTTTTGGGTCGGGACGGTGTCGCGACCCCTGTGTTTGAGAACCCTTCTTCACACTCTAAGAAAGAATAATTCTTGGCGCCTAATTTCCACCCTTGGCTTTAATCTTCCTCAATTTTCGAGTGATTTTTTCGATGCAAAATATACAGACGGATTGATAGGTTGCTTGGGAAATCTAAGATTACGGAACCAGAAGGGAAGGATGGGGAGCGTTCGCAAACCACTAAAGAGTGTTTTGAAGCGGAAGACGGTAGAAAGGACGATAGAGAGGTCGTGTTTTTACTGAGCCACTTGCTGGAACCACCGAGGCTTGAACATAGTCGAAGTTTTGACTTGCCACAAGTGTCAACGTAACGC